ATCAAGATTCGAGATTTAGGCTTCAATTAAGAATTTAGCTTCAGTCATTAGCTTCTAAATGATCCTCGAAATTTGACCTCCGCTGTCATCTCTAAATGATCCTTAAATGAAGAAATAGGCTTCGGGCACTAGCTTTAAAATGATCCTCGGATCTAGAGTTAGGCTGCAGCCTAGAATTTGGCATCCGCCATCATCTCTAAATGATCCTCAGATTAAGAGTTCGGCTCCAGCCAAGAATTTAGCCTTCAATATCTGCTTAAGATGATCCTCAGATCAAGATTTAAGCTCCACCCAAGAATTTGGTCTCCGCCATCATCTCAAGATGATCCTCGAGTAAAGATTTTTGCATCTGCCATCAACTCTAAATGATCCTCAAATAAAGACATAGGCTCCTGCCAAGAACTTGGCTTCGCCTATCATCTCTAAATAATCATCAGATCAAACAGCTTTGGCCATCTGCTCAAAATGAATCTCGGATCTAGAGTTAAGCTTCAGCCATCTGCTCGAAATAATCTTCAAATCAAGAGTCAAGCATCAACCATCGTGTTAGAATCCAACTCCTTTTGATGTATTAGATGCTCTTTTAATGCTTTCCTACAGTTTAATTTAAGTTTTCTAGGTCTTAGGTCCCATTATTGTGTTACTGTCATTGCACTATTCACTAGGGATTCTCCATGTAATCAAATTAAAGCTCTTTATAGGGCGAATGATTAATGAAATTAAGAAGCCTTCTACCAAGTGTTGAGTTGCTTTTATGCTTGTTTGTTCTTAGACCTTTATAGATATTGTGTCTTACATACACAATAGCTCCGCTCTACACCAAATTGATGCACTAAGAACTCGTGGTTTAGACCTCCTTATGCCCGCCTTGAAATATCGGCCGTCACAAGCCCCGACCACCCACACTCCATCACCCAAATAGACGTGAGTGCTGCTGAGATTTAATTACCCGCTTGTGTTGCTTCGTGCTCACAAGCCCCACTTCTGCTTAAGGCTAGCGTTCTTGCCGCCAAAAAGGCTAGAGCGTGCCGCACATTCCGGTGCCCAAAATCCTGGACTATGACAGTTGGTATCAGAGCCGAGGTCCAAACCACGTCGCAAGGAACCCGTTTAGGCACCAAGGAGGGCTACACAAAGATGGAATTCGTAGAAGAAAGGCTCGCTTGGCTCGAGGAGAAAGCGCACGAATGGTCTCACCTCTAAGTCATTGTAAAGGAGCAAGCCGAGCAGATTGTGAAATTGATGGAGGATAAAGAGATACGCTCCGCGAGCAATTGAACTTTTCTCAAGGACGAGCTGATGAAGCACTTGAGAAATGTGCTACTCTAATGCGCATTATGGGCAGAGACGCAAATGGGGTTGGTGTGGTGAAGATCAAACCGCCCAATCCTCGCGACTACAGTGGCGCTAGAGATGCCAAAGAAGTTGACAGATTCCTCTTCGACATGGAGCAACACTTCCGAATATGTCAATTAAGTGACGATTAGAAGGTGGATACTGCCATCATGTACTTGTCCAAAGATGCTAAGCTTTGGTGGTGCACCTAGCACGCAGACATCGAAGTAGGGAGAATAAAGATTGATACATGGGAAGAGTTCAAAGAGGAACTCAAAGAACAATTCTACCCCGACAACACAGAATTTGTTGCTCGGATGAAGATGCAAGAGGGCCGCCAGAAAGGCTCCCTCCGCGACTATGTGAAGGAATACTCGGCGATAATGTTGGACATCACAGACATGAATGAGAACGAAAGATCGTGTGTTCAACTTTGTCAATGGGTTAAATGAATGGGCGCAGCGAGAGATTTTAAGGCAGAAGATTGACACCCTCGCTGCTGCCATGTGTGTTGCTGAGAGATTGATGGACTATTCAGTCGAGAAGTTCTGTCAGTCCGAGAATGATTCAAGTGGCACGTCCACACGCTACGATAGCCCGGCTCCAAACTCACAAGAGGGCACAGAGGTCGACTCTCGAGTATTGTCCAACACCGTTGATGGATACCAAAGAAGAAATGGAGGAGATGATGCTTAGAAATCAACATCGACCCCCTCCCACCACTCCGAAAACTCCAAGGCCGCCACGTCCTTGGCAAACACAAGGTCGCTGAACTGCATACTTTTTCAAGGCTCACACAAATGGTGGGATTGCAAGCATACAAAAGAGCTTCACAAGGTCCAGATGAGATTGTAATCCATATCCGTTTAAGAGGCCCCAAAGGAGAAAGAGACCAAGTGACAACAAACCAGTCCAAAGAATGGGTGCAATCTACAGAATGAACTCTATGAGATTGATAGCCCCATAGGAACTCGAAGTCTGACACCTGTTGGCTATGCGAGTGATGGAGCCAGAGAAGATGGTGACATCAAAGAAGTAAGCTTGCACCAGAGACCCTGAGAAGCGGGAGATGAAGCCTTATGAGCTGGCAACATCGAAGATACACCCCTGTCAAAACAAGAATCAGAAACACTACTCGAAGCAAGCAGCGACGAGCCTAGAGACATCAAGGAGACACAAAAGAGGATCTTCCCAAGAGATAAGGAGCACAATGGCCGAGCTAACAACGGAGGTCACGTGCAGGGGATCGCAAAGAGAATGGATACCCAATAGGCACCAGCCACAATTGGAATCTCACCGCCACAACCTTAAGGAAGCAGCTCCCCAACAGATGATCAAGGAAGCAACTCTGCACAAGAACCCAACAGATGTAGCTCCCAAGAGAAAATTTAGAGATGATGCTCTCAACAAGTTGTTCGAGAAGAGCCACCTTAGAGACAAGCTCCAAGGCAACAACAAAGATCCAGATCCGGAGTCGACGAAGATTCAATAAGCCAGTCGCATCAACGGCGCACCAGAGACTCAAGATAGATTAGGATTTTCAAATTCTGATTGTAATTCTTGTAAGCCAACGAGGTTGTCGACATCTTAATTGGGGGAGGATGTTAGAATCCATCTCTTTTTGATGTATTAAATGCTTTTTTAATGCTTTCATAGAGTTTACTTTAAGTTTCTAGGCCTTAGATCCCATTATTGTGTTACTGTCATTGCAGTGTTAACTAGGGATTCTCCATATAATCAAATTAGAGCTCTTTAGAGGGAGAATGATTAATGAAATCAAGAAGCCTTTTACCAAGTGTTGCTTGCTTTTATGCTTGTTTGTTGTTAGACCTTTATAGATATTGTGTCTTACTTGCATAAAACTCCCCTCCACACCAACTTGATGCACTAAGAACTCGTGGTTCGGACTCGCTTGTGCCCACCTTGAAGTATCGGTCATCACAAGCCCCGACCACCCGCACTTCGTCGCCCAAATAGACGTGAGTGCTCCTGAGATTTAATTGCCCACTTATGTTGCTTCGTACTCACAAGCCCCACTTTCGCACAAGGCTATCGTTCTTGCCGCCAAAAGGCTACAGCGCATCGCACATTCCGGTGCCCAAAATCCTAGACCGTGACACATCGGCTCCAAATGATCCTCGGATCAAGAGTCAAGCTTTGGCTATCCACTCTGATGACCCTCGGTTTGAAAATTAGGCTTTAAATTTTCTTCACTACATAAAATAAATCGGGTGGTAAAACTCTCCACTTCAAGTGCTACTATCGAATAACTCGGAAAGAAAAATAAAACCCAACTCATTCTTCAAATAAAGTCGAATATGGGGGTACTAAAATGGTCCTATCCCTTTCAGCCTAATCCAATCCTACCCATATAAGCCCAAAGGGTACCAAAGGCCTTAAAAGGTCCAAACAAGCCAAATGCCCTATTAGGGCCCATTATTGCCCATCCATGTATTACTATATATACGTTCCTTGGAAATATAAAGGAGGATCATCCTTTAACTAAGATGACCATCCTTCCACCTTTCTCTCCCAAAAATACCCTCATGGCTTGTTTGGAAACATGGAATTCATTTGAAATGATGGAATTGGGCTAAATGACATGTTTGGGTAATGTAGGAATTTGGATTCGTATTTAGCCCAAATCCAAGTCTTATAAAAATTGAGTCATGTAGAAGGAATCTGAAATCCAATGTAAAATGGTATCATTTCAAATTCTTAAAAACTGAAAAACCTAGCTAGCCTCCTTTTACTGCTATCCTATTGCTCTCCCCTCCCCTCCCCTCTATATGCCTAGCCGCCATTAATGGAGTTGTGGAAGCTTTATTTCACGGTAAATTTCAGTGTTATGTTAAATAATCGTGGATAATTATGCTTAATTGGTTTTCTTTGCTCTCCTGCAGGTGTCTCCTTTCTCTCTCCTACTTCTCCCATCATAAATGATATTATCTTTCCTCTATCCTCCATTAAAGCTTCGAAGCTGAAGAATTCATCAATCTTGATCAAGTATGATATTATAAATAATGATCTTCATTGTTACCATCTTTATACAATATTGACATTGATGACGAAGTCGGTGAAACTGACGAGAGGTAGTCAGGTAGAGCAATACGAGGAGATAGAAATTAAATTGTTTCAAAAATCAAATTTAGTGCTGAAGAATTAACACCACCTAACTACAGCAATTAAATTAATTTGATACTAAAAAAAATCTTTTTGATTTAATGATTTCATACTTGATTATGGAACTGCAAATAAAAAAATTAAAAGTTCTCAATTCTTGATTTGAAGTATCATCTATTTGACCATATTTCCCAAACGAGGGGAATTGAAAATTTGAAATTCTTGAACTTTAATTTTAGTATTTTCCAAACATGATATCTGGAATTCAAATTCCAGATTTCAAAATCCAGAATTGAATTCATGGTTTCCAAACACTACCTCAAGTATTCATTATTTGGCTTCTAACTTGGTCGTCCAAGGCTCTACCCCAGGGTCCACCCTCAAGGCTCAGAGTACATTTTACAGGTCAACATGAGGCCCAAGTTAACCAAGCCGGTACATGATAATCAAAGCTTCTACTTCATATTCTTTTCAAAAAAAAAAAAAAAAAGCTTCTACTTCATATGTATTCAATATTTGATGTGCCTACTGGAAGAATGATCTTGAGCAGAGAATTTAGATGTCAACAACATCCATTTCACTAAGAAATTAATAAAGCAGATGTTGATTCTGAGAGTTACATTGTCCTAGAAAATCATATCATTTCTAGGCACAATAAAAGCGATAATGCTAGCACTGCACAATAGTTTCCTAAAGTTCTATCAAAATCTGCACAAGTAATTGCATTTAGATTATGCTTAGGTCCTACTTATAAGCCTTTCTAGAGTTATGTCAGTACTTGTTGAGCAATCAGAAGTATCTGATATAAGGTCAACGCATCAGCTCTGAAACTTCTCGCAGTCCTTCGACCCATTATTGATGAAATATTTGACAAGCGGTCTCATTATTTTAGCAACCTCAGTTTTGAAGTTAGATGAGCCGGTTTTTAAAGCATTGTCGCCCTCTTCAAGCCATTTCTTGATATCACACCCTACCTCAGCACCATCAGCATATGCCTTACATGCTGTCATGATATCAAGAGCACGAACACGAAAATGTCCAGCTACCAGAACCTCAAAATGCTGCAGGAAGAGTAATCTGTTTGTGAATCCTCACAAGTACAAATGGCTAAACAGCAACCAAATTGTGAAACATTAGTCATATTCATTCTTTATATCCCCCCCCCCCCCTTCCTCTCTTTTTGCTCTCTCCCTCTCCCACCAAGGAAAAAGACACCCTTAAGTTTTCTAGAAGCCTCAAACATAAGATACTTCCACAGAGTAATCAAACTTCGCTTTTGTGATTTATACTTAAGAAAAAAATAATTATATTAGGTTTGGTTAAATTTGTCTGAATTAATACTTTGACAATATTAACATACTCCCTCCGTGTTTTAATAAGTGTTACACTTACCAATGCGGCCGTGTTTGACAAAAAGCTACATTTTAATACTCCCTCCGTGTTTAAATAAGTGTTAACATTTTTTTTTTTTTTGGCAAAAAGCTACATTTTAATACGGAGTATTATACATTTCTCTTTTATGGTCCCAACCCAAACCCACAATTATTTTTTCTATTATTTCTTTCCTCTCACATTCATTACTTTTCATTAAACTATTAACCACATTATCTTTCTTTTACAATTTTTTAATACTCCAACTACCCCACTTACCTCTTATTTTATTTAAGTCAACTAAATTGACTAAAACTATGTGCCGGTCAAAGTGTAACACTAATTAAAACACGGAGGGAGTATTATAATTTTTACTAAAAAATAATTAAAGAATTAATAATATAAAATGTGCATTGATAAGCGTCAAAACCCTAACGTTGCAATTAAAAAAAGAACGAAGTAAATAAAATAATAAATAAAATAAACTAGTAGAAAGAAAACTTAGCCATCCCATTGTGATACTCATATCCATATGAATTCAAGATCATAAAAAAGAATATACTCTTGCTGCATATGGAGCCATACCTGAGGGGGATTCCTAATTGTGTACATCATCTTTTTCAAGGATTTAATGAAAATATCTTCACTGTATTCCTTGGCTTTTTTCTTCCCCTCGGAACCTCTGTATGTCTTGTCGAACCCAGGTTCATTAAAAAAGGGTTCAGCATTCAGAATTAAAGCTTGAATAGACACCAAAACTTGAAGCATTGTTGACTTTTTTGGAAGCCACATCTCGTCTCGTCCGCCACTCCATGTGTTCAACAAGCTCAAGCAGACTTTTCCACATTCATACAGGTTGGGATTAAGTCGAAAGCCACTTGAATGATAATGGACCATCTGACATATGAATTTCACAAAAGTTAATATTATCAAAATGTAATTATTCTAACTAACTGCTGCGAGTATTTCAAAGCCATTACTCTAACACCAAATGCCTGTTTAATACAAGATAGACAGCGAAGAAAATAAGAAAATAACAATTAAATCCTATAAAGAAAATAAGAAAATAAAAAAAAAACAAATACTTTCATTAAATCCTTAGTTCACATGAATGTGACAATATGATGATGTAAATGCTATAATGCATCTCCATTAGGAAGGTTTATTCTTCATTAGCTAACATTACCCCTCATATGCACAAGCGCAAGATGGTAACTAGAAATGTAAAACAGCTAAGCACCTAATTCGCTGTCTAACTTATCATACACGGAGTACTAAAGACATCATACGTAAAATCACAAACAAATGCACTACCATTCCTATAGTTTAACCCTTGTACGGAGTACCAAATACGACATACAACATCAAATTTTCTCATGAAAATCTAATCTTTTGAACTCATCAACAATTTGTTTGCAACAAAGAACATAAGAAAATAACAAAAACAAATACTACGTATTAAGGAGCTTATTAAGGAAGAAACTCCAGGGGCCAAAGCAGGGTACGGAGGCATACTATGAAACTAATTATTTCCCTATATGATGCCCCCCATTTATTTAAGAAAATAAAATTATAAATTCATGGCACAACCAAAACTGCTACTATGGCTCAGTTATCTTCACCTGATTTTCATAAAATTGAAACTAAACATAATGTTGGACTACTGGTTACTGGTTATTACTGGTTTACTATTGAAACTATACATAAAATTGAAACTATACATAAAATTGAAATTAGTTATTACTGGTTTAGTATTGTACTGGCTACAAAAAGTAACTGGTTAAACCTAATTAAAGCTACATAAAACCGATTTTAACAATATAAAAATTAACTAAAGAGACATGAACCGCCTTCTACAATGTATGGCATTCAGGGTTGTGTCAATGCATAATTTTGAGCAAATTACAAATACCTTTCAATTATGAAGAGTTGATATATTGATAAAGCTAACAAGATCCCACTCAAGTACGAAGTATGTTTAAATTATATATAAATCAGTATACAATCACGGTCAAAATCTATTAATCTCTTGGGTAAAGCTAAAGAGACAGAGGGAGTAATACAATGCAACATCTATGCAAAAGCAAATATAATTTCAAGGTGATTGAAAAGTTTTTGCTGCCATGAAAACATACCGGTGGTTCATTTGGATATGTAGCTGGAAACACAGCATCAAAGACAAAAAGCCCATCATGATATGGAGTACCTGATGGTCCTATAATGACAGCTCTTAAAAGATCCATCCGTGATTCATAAACTCTAACAAATATTGTTTCTGCAAAACAGTAAGCAAAGAATGAGGCTTCGGCTAAGGTTGAGCCTCCTTGGACCTAAAATTTCTCTGTAAAATCAGCCAACCCACCGAACCACACCCCACTCCCTGCAAGAAATAATAAGTTGAACAAAAAAGGTGCAAAAGCATAAAATTATTCAGAGGGTACCTCCTTCCATTTAGTATAATCAGATTTCAACAGTTTTAAGTATATCACTCTTTAAATCAGTAAATAAAAAAATACTGAATGAAATTAAATAATAAATCATAAGGCAAACATGAATCTCTAGAAACCTAAAACGTAAAATTGACTACACGATCCCATAACTTAACAGATATACAACATAAACCATTGAAAGTCAAACCTGGTAAGTTCTGCTCCAGTATCTTCCACTCATCCTGAATTTTCTTTGACCAATCCTTTGAAGGCTGCAGTATCATTTAAAGAAGCACATATATAAGCAAGCTGCAAAACTAACATTTGTTAGACAAGCTATTTATTTCAAGAAAAGGAAAATAGTTTCAACCATTCGCCCTGAGGATTCCATATCTAGATAGTGATGATCAGAACATACAGCGACTGTATCAAATTGTTTGAAGTACATTAATTTTCTCAAAACCTCATCCATCTCTTCTTCCTTTTTAACAATTGAACTTGACTCGGCTTTAGAGCTGCTAGACGCAGAGACTTTCTCTTCCTGGACTGGAAAAGTTGATGTTCCAGCAGCAGGAGGCTTCTCACTTGGAGAAGGATCCTGCAACCAGGGAACTGATGCCTCAACACCAGGGGGCAAGTCTGCATTGTCAAATTGAGCTTGCAGCTTCATAAGTTCATCATCCACATCAGACAAATACTCATCATTATCATAGTAGTCTGAATAAACATCATCATCCACATAATCATCCCCATCATCAATGGCATCATCTTGAAATGATAAGTCGGAAGTAGAACCATTATGATCAGCTGAATTATTGGATCCTGATGTGGAGGTCTTCACACCATTGCCATTATCCACAGAAACTAGCACAGTAGTTGGCACCGCTAGATCAGCCATTAAGACATCCTGTAAGCACAAAACATCAGAGACTGGAGGACATACTATGATAGATTAAAGATATAATTCAGCAGGTTATTAAATTTCCAAGCCGGGTAAAATCTAATTGACAAAGTAAGTCACTTTGGAGCAATGCACACTTTTTTTTTTTACTAATATTAGTTTCCTTTCCAAAATACAAACATTATTGTTTTGAAAAGGGATAATGGAAAATGAATGCCTTGAATGTCATAATTACTTTAATTTTACTTATAGTGCTTATAAAACTCATGAGCAATGTACACTCAACAAATTTTATTTACACACGGTCACAATCATCGAATTTGCAGTGGAAAACTAGCATCATAATCATGATCATAAGAAGCGGAAAGCTTCCTCAGCAGTCACTACCAAACAAACATCTACCAAAACGTTGTAATAATCCTTTTCATGTTTACACATTGGTCTAATCATTATAATTTCATGGCCACTAACATTTTGATATAGCAACAATCATTCCTCAACTGAATTCGGCCACTTATTTTCGCCGGACAAAATTATTATATCATTCGACCCAACAAGAATTTCAAAGAAGTATCCTACAGAATACGAATTTCACAAAAATATGTTAGGAAAGATATCACCAAGAATAAATTCAATTAAAAAACTCCAAAAGAACAGAACAAATTCAACCGAAACCCTAATCGATTGCAAATCAAATATACCTACAAAAAAACCCTGATCAACATTTGTACAAATTAATTGAAATATTATTCCGAGAAATTGAACCATAATCATCGTCTTAAATTAAAAAATAACAATAATTCTCTACAAAAAAAAAAAAAAAAAAAAAAAAAAAAAAAAAAAAAGAGACAAATTCACTGAAAATTAAAAAAAACTTCTGACTACAACTCGTAAAAAACAAAAAATAACTGAATTTCATATATTGAATCAAATTCCAACAAATTCAAAGAAAATCCAATTAATCAGACACAAAAATCAGCGATCAAAAACAGTAATCAAACTCGGTAAGCAAACAAATTACAAAAATCAAGATTAAATTGGCTACCTTTTCATCTTTGAGCTCGTTAGCGATGACAGGATGATCCAATTCCATATCCATAACAAGCAAAATTCTTCTCTTTGGACAAAAAAAACACAAAAATTCGATCTAGAAATGAAATCTTTGTTCTTGTTCTTGTTGTTCCTCAAACGGAACAGTGGTGCATTGTTTCTCCCTCTTTAGTGAGTCGCAGAGAAAGTAGAGGAGAGAGAAAGTGAATAGAGAAATGTGGGACCCTTATATTGGAAGTCTTGGAGAAAGAGAACTGATTAGGTAAAGCTTTTGTGAGTCTGTATAAATAACAATGGGAGAGAGGTAATCCTGTGTGAGCAGGTGTTTTTATCTTAAAATAGATCTGCGATGATGAATTTGAGTATTGTATGATTTCACGCTGGATGTGTTCAATTGCTTTTGTTGTTGTGAGGGCGAGTGGTATGTGATCTTTGCCTTAAGTATATTAGTGTGTTTTTATTCAAATATTATTTTCCTTGTGTTTCGTAATAATTGTAAAACTTATTTTTATCTATGTTATAGTTCTTCCATTTTTTTAAATTGCACCATTTCAAATGGGCACAAAGATTAAGGAAGTAATTCAATCACAAAAATGCCTATGTCACTATAAATAAAAGAAAGAGAGTAAAAATTAGGTAAAAGGGGTAAATACATTTGAACAAGGGTAAATAAAAAATTTTGTGTGTCAACACAACCAAAAAGGGAAAAGTTGTCAAGTAAGGAAATGGTGCAATTAATATGCAATTTCTTAAAAAGAAAAATGGTGCAATTAAAAAATACGGAAGAAGTATAATACTGGCAACATATTTTTATTTCCTTTTTTTTTTCCTACCAATTCTACCTACGCTATAGTGTGCATTTTATTATTTTTCTTTCCTACTAACCATAGACCCCGTTCCAACTACTCCCTCCGCTTTTAATTTAATTCCCCATTTTTACTTTGGCACTATTTATATGCATCGTTTTGACCAATTTTCGTGCTTTTTACACAAGATAAAACTAGGTTATTGAAATGAATGGTGTCTTTCAAACAAGTGTATTATTCCGATAGAGGGTTCGAAATTAATTAAAAAACTAATTGTTCAGTGAGGTCAAGTGATCGGAATGCCTAGCAGGAGGCCGCTTTCGATCAGTAATATTAATGAATAATTAATATTAGCTTAATCTTGACTGAACCCTTCGGGTCACACCCAATCATGTAACCGAATCGAATCGACGAATTAATCCGAAGGATTAAATGAGTCAATAGAGTTTTTACGAACAAAGACGTCGAATACCGAGCTTAGAGCGTCGAAGCCGAGCGTCGTAAGTCGAGTCGAATTTAGGAATTGACAAGACAGAAAAATCAACCAAACGACAAGTCATCGTGGGAAAAATCCTAGCCTCGAACTGGCCTAGCCAATCGAAGGATAGGTAGGCTAGCATGGCTAGCCAAAGCCCTTACCAGAAGGCAAGGCTCGGCCGCAAGCTCAGCATGCACCGCATGGCCGAGCATGCTTGCCGAGCAAGCCTTACGGGCAAGGCTAGGCCAGCCACGCGTTACTAGGAAGGTAGCAGCACCAGCCCCGCACCATCGCAAGCAAGGCCAGCAGCAAATGCTCGCTAGGCCTTGCGCGAGGAAGCAGTAGCAGTAGCACGGAAGCTAGACTTGCGGTAGGAGTGCCCAGCAGCACCCAGCAGCCCGCAATGATGAGAGGCATGCTGGTGCGGGCTGCCAACGCATGCGACCAGCTGGCAAGCCCAACCAAGGGGCCAGGCCGTCAGCGAGGCAGCCTTGGCGCCCAAGGCAAGCCACGCCAGCTGGCGCGCTGCGAATTGGCTGAGAGTATGTGGGAGTCGTTTTGTAGGTTTGCTTGGGGAGCAAGGGGAAGGTGGTCCTTCCCTTGTGGTCCTCACCTAACCCCTTGCTCTCCATGTGACACTTGTCGTTTGGTGATTCATTTGGCTTTTTAATTTTAATGGAATTAAATTAAATTCTATTTTGCCTTTTTACCAACAATCCCACATTGAAAGATGATGGGAATTCTTGAGCTCTATTCCCTATAAATACCAATCATTTGGCATTGGGAAAAGGCACTTGAGTTGGTGAACTTTAAGGGATCTCCAAAGAGAGAAAACCTTTGTTCTAATAACTCTAAATTGTTTTTGGTCTAGCCCCGACTAACCTTTGGGGTAGGGACCGGTTCGGTTCGGTAGCGAGGGTGTGAGTCGTTGGAGGTTCTTGCACTTGCGGAACTTGAAGTTTTCAAGTCCAAGCTCAAAGGTCGAGCGAAACACGCTACAAGGGTGAGCAATCTTTCTCTCTCTTCTCTTCTTCTCCTATGTTCATGTTTATTTTGCATGCTTTTATTTATGTTATAATTGTTATGCATGCGATCCGGCTATTGGGTTGTGTTTCCACGCGGTGTCGGATACCGCAAAACCCAACAGTTATACCCCGTGCTATTGATGCACGGTTATTATAACAGCATCATAAAACAGTATTCCATAAAAAAAGGACTTCACATACCAATTATTAGAGAATATTTTAGAATGTTATAATACTTGTTGTTCCACTTTCCCAAGGGGTGCTGAAGGATGGGAAGTTTTTGGTGTTTCTCTAAGAACGGCACATACTCTGTTAAGTTAGGGTATTGGTTATCTAAGGGGGTGGTAATGATGAGCTTCTAGAAGGCGACAATGATCATCTATGGAAATCAATATGGAGGATTAGAGGCACACCTAAACTTCAGCATTTCCTATGGAGTGCACTTAAAGGCAACCTTGTAGTGAGAGACCATCTTGTGCACCGTCATATTATTGGAGATGCTTCATGTCAGGTATGTGGTTGTGAAAGAGACATTATTATGCAATCTTTGATTTATTTTAATGCTGCTAGAGCAATATGGGAGCATAGTGATCTAAAGGTGAATTTGAATGGAGCACCCAATGAATCTTTTGTGGTCTTCTAGGGATGGCTAAATAATAAGTGCAGCTCTGACGAAGTATGCATGATGGCCACTTTAATGTGGGATACTTGCACTGCTGTAATTTAGTCATCTTTGAGAATGAGCAACCTGATGCGGTAATGCTTACAGTGGGATATTGTAAAATGGTACAAGAATATAATATGTACAAAGCAAAGGTATCTTGCTACTGGTTGTTCATACGCTATCAGAAGCTCTACGTGGAGATGTCCACCTACTAGATGTGTGAGGGTAAATGTTAACACTCATTTCCCCGTGGAAGGAGTTGTTGTAATGGGTGTAGTGTTTAGGGATGAGTAGGGGCACATTTTGTTGATAGCTACTAGGAAGGTTGGAGTGTCAAGCCCGGAGTGTGTGGAAGCAATGTTAATTAGGTATGCTTTGCAATTATTGGCCAAGAGGATGGGTTACTCGAACATATGGGTGGAGTCGGACTCTCTGAATGTCATCTATGTAGTGTCTTTTAAGGATGTTGGTTTTTCTCCTAGTTATGTGGTCTATGATGATATCCGTGTTGATAGAGCTTGGTTTAATGTTTGTCATTTTTCTCATGTCAAAAGATGTTGTAATACAATAGCACATATTGTAGCAAGAGGGGATACAGGGTCGAACATTGAACTTGTACGTATAGGTGCCTTTCCTCAAAGTATTACACTTTGACGAGAATGGACATGTCTTGATTTCTTTTGTTTTTTTTAAGGAACATTTCTTGATTTCTTAATAAAGCTCTGTCATCACTTTCTTAAAAACACAATAAATAGCAACATTTTCTTATTTCTTTTTTTTCCTACCAATTCTACTTACGCTATGAAGTGCATTTTATTATTTCTCTGTCCTACTAACCATGTACCCCATTCCAAATACTCCCTCCGTTTTTATTTTAGTGCTTCATTTTGACTTTGACACTATTTTATGCATCGTTTTGACCATTTTTTGTGCTTTATACACAAGATAAAACTAGGTTATAACTCGTGCAGCAATAGATGCACAGTTATTATAACAACATCATTAAACAAGAATCCATAAAAAAAGGACTTGACATACCGATTATTAGAAAATATAAAGTTTATATTAAAAATAGCCACTTATAATGGTTATAATGAACAATTTAAATTTTAGAAAGCTTAGTTTAAATTTTATGTAAAGTGAAAGTCAAATTTAGATACAATATTTTTTTAGTAAGGAAAATTTAATTTTTTTTGGCAAATATTTTAGGATGGAAAATTTTTAATACAATCATGACAAGGTGTATTTTTGGTTTCGCCTTTAGTAATACTAGCCTTTTGGCCCGTGCCATGCACGGGTTATATATAGAAAAATTGAGAAAGAAAAAGTGTTAACAATTTTATGTCCCTTGAAATATTGTAACCGTTGCATGGGTGATTGAATAACAATCAATCAATTCAATGAAAGTTAAGAAGTAGGGGAAGAAAAGAATTACTTGTATGTGAATTGAAATGGGAAATGAATAATACAATTTATGAAGAATAATGAAGGGATTTAAATGTTGGAGATGAATGGGGAAGGTAGATCTATCGTTAAGGCAGGAGAAATTATAAAAGTTTTTCATATAAAATTATAATTAAATAAATTCAGATGGAGATGAAGGAGAGAGGAGGACATGTGGTGTATTGTAATCCCCCGTATTTTTAAATATTTTATAAATAAAATTTTATTTTATTTATAATATTTATTTGTATTTTTCCAGAATTTAATTTTCAAATTATTAATTTGGGTCAAAAATTATTTTAGGCTAAATTAATTTATGAACATATATCCTACAATCCATTATTATAAAAACAAAGTCTAACCCATTTGTTTAGTTAATTGGCCCATTATTTTCATGAGGCCCAATTCTACCCTACAATTCTCTCCTATAAATACCCCATGAATCCTCAAATTCCCCCCCCCCCCCCCCCACAAAAAGGTTAGTCTTATTTTCTTCCTCTATTTTTTATTATTTTCATAAAGCTTATGTAATTGATTTTTGGGTTTTGGTTTTTTATTGCTTGAAATTAGTTTATTTAGTATCAAAATCATGCTTTTGATGTTTTAAACTAATAATTTCAGATTATAATTGTTGTTTTAATTTTTAGATTTTGTAATTTTAAACATAGGGTTTTAATTTAGTTAAATTAGGATTTTAGGGTTCTAATGATCAATTAATTTGGGGCTTTTGTTCCCATTGAATTTCTAATGATTAATTAAGCATAAAAATAAATTTTCAAGTTTTCGTAATCAACTTATGATCTCCGTTCTTAATTTTTTTAATCACGTTTAGATTCTAACTCGTCAGATTTTTACAAAAAAATAGTGTTTTTCGTGTGTAAACAACGTTTTAATAAAATCTTATTACTTATGGTAGTGAGCACCACCCTCTCGTGGCCAAATTCAGCCTCTAAATATGGTTTTCGGGCAGTTTTTGATTTTTAACTAAGGTTTAATGTTTAAAATAAATTTTCAGATTTTTCTAAAGCTCTAAACTTGCTGTAATTTTATGAATAAGTATGTATTTTAATGTTTTTATGTAGGAAATTTTAAGAATAATATATAAGCTTTTAATTCTAGTAAAAAGGAAGGTTTTAAAGTGTTGT